CAGTGAAACCGAACTCAATTTTCAGTTAAGTAAAACCAGGGTTTAGATACAACATTCAGTTCTTAACTTCTTCAGCAGCAAGAGAGGCTCCTGCCAACGTGTCCTAGAATTGCTGATGGCTGCAGTCGTGACCTCTTACCATAAAGAAAATGTTGCCACATCCCCCTGGGCAACTGCAATCGGCAGCTGTGTGGATTTAATCCGCGAATATGAGCTGGTGAGACGAAGTAACACTTTGCAATCTGATACGAGCAAGCTTCAGTGTTTATACCCATAGAGAGAAAAATGGTCGTTATTCTGGAGATGCTCATGATTCCAAAGGCTAAATGATGGAATTAAATTGGTGCTTTTGTAATAAAGTGATACTGACAAACTGTGTATCCAGATGACCAATCTAAAACAAGCTAGTGACAGATGCAGCCTGCTAGGATTCCTGAACATGGGTCCTTTATCCAGCTTTATCTGTGGCTACTTTATCCACCTCTCCCTCTTTCATCAGATAGCTAGATATATATTAACAGAAAAAGGGGCTATTAGGGCAAGTCACTGTATCCACAATCTGAATTCATGGTGGCAAGCCTCACAGTGTATACAGAGGAGTAAAAAATGCATCGTTAAAAAATTTCTAGCTTTCCTTTCCAATACCTGAAGTTCCGCAGCTAGCATAGTCTGTCCTGAAGTAATTTAGCGGTCAACAGCTTGTATACATCTTTTTTTATCTTTTGATAAGGAGAGAAAGGAACTTAAGTGCTTGTCATTATGCATAAGAAATAACTGTTGTAAGCGTATCAGTGCCCGATTGTGCAATTGTGCACATTATGTAACTTTACATAAATATGTGTGAATTAAAAAAAAAACCAAAAAACAAACAGGTTCCAAACTTTAAAGAGGTTTTGTTTATGGCTGTACGTCCTCCTTTTTGGAATTATAATTTGTATTTTTGGAAAAGAAATATGATTGTAATGAAAACTTAGGAATTTTATGTGAGAAAGTGAGCCAGCAAATAAGCAGTATTAAAGATAGAATTCTAAGTTATAGTCTGTGTAATATGACCTAAAGCTAGCAGTTTTTTCACCTAAAATTTTTCTGAGAAAGATTTCTGTCTTAGTACAGTTACCTGGAACTGTTTTTACTGCTGTGCTATGAATATATAACTTTGACTTTACCAGTATCGTTTTATCTGATAGTTCCACTGAGTGGTGCTCTTGCTCTGCACTTGCTAAGTACATTATATTTCTGAGAGTGAATCCACTATAAATCTCTTTCTCTGGAATAGCTACAAGGACAAAGAGTTCCCTATGTACGAAGTACATTACAGTAGTTTTTTTGTTGGTGTTTTTTTTTTTCCAAATGCTTCTTTAAGTACAAAGTACTTCATCTTATGATGTTATCCAACAGAATCTTGGTTGAGGTCTCCAGTGTCCTAGTTCTTACATTCCTTTATTGTTCAACCAATGAACAAAATATGCAGTGCAAATATACAAGAGAGTATCATACAGCTGAAAGTTTTGAGAAATATGCAATTAAATAGTGTCCTAGCATGTAACGAGGAGACCTTGTGCACATAAACATTTTATGTCACTTCTTAATCTGTGCTATCTATTTTTGTTTTACTTATGTGCAATAAGAAGCTGTCTCTTTCCATATTACTTTTGCTGCATTATTAAAATCTGAAAAATGAAACTACTGCAAGACATAGCCTTCTTGGAAGGTGAAGGTAGGCCACACAAGAAGCTATTCTTAGCAATGCAAATAGAGACAGTTCTACAAAAGTTCCGCAGGTATGCAACAGTTTATCACCTTTTTTCCTCTATTCAGATACTGAACTAAATAACGTAGTGATGGTAGAAAAGGAAAATATCCTCTTTAGCTATTGTGTGTTGCCTTTTGGTTATCCGGCAGGTTATTGTTTTAGATTTAAATCAGGCTTTCAGTTTACTTGGTTTTGAAGAATTACTGAGGTCTATGATTTTTTTTTTTTCTTCTCTTTAGATCAGTTTAAGATGAACTCTTGAATCATTTGGGAAAATGCACACTGTACTGTAAATTTGTTAATGGAAGTACTTGTGAACATAATTTGGCAAAAGAGGTAATGCATATGAAATTATTTTAACCCTTTCACAAAATGAGAAGGATTCTCACCATACTACTAACTCCTGTGGAAAAACTCAGCTTGTGAGAATGTATTTGATTTTTAACTTATGGACAAGAAATTTTGCAACAAGTGTCAGCTTGATTTAAGTGGTGTGTGGGATGTTGATTTACCAGTCACTTAAACCCTGTAAAGTAGAACATTTTCAGAGAGTTAGGAAATAATTACAGCTGAACAAAGATTGCTTTGAGTATTTGAAAAAAGTTTAGATCTCAGGTTCAAGAGCTTTCTTGCTGTGCAAGTGAATTTCTTTTCAGTAATGCAATTTTTTAGCTTAGATGGAATTACAAAGGTAAATAAATTAACAGTTCATTCCTGATCTTTCATAATCAACCTGCCATCTTTCTTATCTATTGCATTACAGTTACTTTGATCCGGACATGTCCAATCTCAATGTAATTGCAGAATTAAATATTTGACATGCAGTAAAATTATCTTTTCTCGTTAAT